CAAAGTCAATTGGAAATCTGGCAGTAGTTCAGACAGCTTCCTAGGATTTATTGGGTGCTTTAGAAAAATCTCTCAGTGACTAGAGTTTCCAGGGAATCCCTGAAGTTTGTGGCTGGAAATAAAACCCAGTACAAATCAAACCAGGGCCCTGAGTAAGTCTCTACCAAGTGAGAGAATTCCTAAGTAAACTGAGAATTGTAGCATTTAAAGGTTTTCCATCATTTTTGAAAACAGAATAATAATTAGATTTTAGAGGAAGCAATAACAACCCTGTGCATCAAAGCCTTAACAAACATCACATTTATTTAAGATGAACTATAGCTCATGCAGACTTTATGACAAAGACAGATGTCAGGTGATATTCTTTTTCTTTTTGACTGAAAGTGTTAATCTAAATACAGAACTTACATGGCATCCTCTAAGAAAAAATGTTGGTTTCATATGCAAGTGAAAACATTTCTAAACACAACTTATTTAAAAGCAGTGTCTGATGGAATTTCTAAAAATGGCTTTTTAGAAAACTCTAGTAATTAAGCAACTTATTTAAAAAACATGTATTTCTGTGAGTATATAGTTTTCTGCCTATCTGTATGTAATAAAGTTATTTCATGTAACTGCGTGTGAGGAGTGTTCTCAGATAAGTTGGCCATCAATGCACAATGATCTATATCACAAATCAGTAATCTGCATCCAGCAAATCAAAATCACAATGAGATGCCCCTTCATACTCACTAGGGTCAGTATGATAAAGAAATGGATAATGGTAAGTGTTGGCAAAAATGTGGAGAAGCCAGAACCATCATGCATTGCTGGGGGATATACCATGATGCAGTTACTTTGGAAAAAGTTTACAGTTCTACAAATTGCTAAGTATAGTCTTCATATGATCTGATAATTATACCGTCATGTGTATATCCAAAAGAATTGAAAACACATGTCTACTAGAAACGTGTGCACAAATGTTCATAGTAGCATTATTCACAATAGCCAAAAAGTCCAAATACCTTCCATTAACTGCTAAGTTGAGAAATAAAAACATGTAATATAAAGATAAACTGAACTTTCTTTGGCAATAAAATGGAAGAAAGACTAATAAATTCTGGGGCCGGTGCTGTGGTGCAGCGGGTTAACACCCTGGCCTGAAGTGCCAGCACCTCATATGGGCACTGGATCGAGACCCAGCTGTTCCACTTCCTAACCAGCTCTCTGCTGTGGCCTGGGAAAGCAGTAGAAGATGGCCCAAGTCCTTGGGCCCCTGCATCCACGTGGGAGACCTGGAAGAAGCTCCTGGCTCCTGGCTTTGGATTGGTGCAGTTCTAGCCACTGCAACCATCTGGGGAGTGAAGCAGCAGATGGAAGACCACTCCTCCCCGGCCCCGCCCCCCAGCTCGCTGCCTCTCCTCTCTCTGTGTAACTCTGATTTTCAAGTAAGTAAATAAATCTTTAAAAAAAAAGACTTATATATGCTCCAACACGGATGGGTTTAAATAAATTATGTTAACTGAAAGAAGCTAGCTACAGAGCGCTACATACCATATGGACAGAGAAAGCAGGTCTAAGTGCTTTGGTGGACGCCGAGGAGTGGGGAAAGCTGAGTGCTATCAGGTCCAGCTGTAAGGAGTTGCTGTTTGAGACTGGCTCAGTGTCTCCGACTAGATGCCGGGGATATCTGCACAACTCTGCGAGTCTACACGCATTTACGGTGGAGAAACTCTGTGACATGAATCACATCTCAGTGAAGTTTCTTTTGAAATGACATCTTTTAGATTTAGCACCAAGCTAAGTTACATAACAGACATAAAGCTATTAGTTAAGTATCTGGCATACAACTTTTGGTGAGTTTTTCTTCCTGGCATCATCATCATCAACACTGTCTCTGCACTATTATAATTTGCCCAGTAAACCCTTCCATTATTCATCCAAATATCAGAAAGCATCTACTGAGTGACACACATTCATGTGCTTGTGGTTGGTGACCACAACGGATCTGGTAGGTCAGTTTAGGACAGATATAACCAATATTGTTTTCCCAAAAGCTATTCTCCTCTAACTAAAGAAACACATTGGGTGAAGATATTTGGTGGAAATGCCAGGCTAATACAGAAATACTTTCAGGGTTTATGATTCTATGTAGTGTACTATACTTGGGTTTAAGATACAAATATTCTGATAATGTCCATCTGAGGTTTTACCGCAGATTCCATGAACTTGCAGGATATTAGCAACCTCTCTGTGTCTACTTGTGACTCTTCCAATTATGGGCCTCCATTCCCACAGTGTTAGGAAGACCGGGCGTAGACTTGGGTTCTGAACTTCTTCAGCAAACCTAGCCTGATGGTCCTCACCTCCCATCAAGGAAGCCGGATCCCATCTCTGGGTGTTCTCAGGGCTCGTGTGTCCTTGTTCCATCACCCAGTAGGCACCGCCTATTCCCTGCTTCTCTCATTTGATAATAAACTCCTTAACCCTAACCTGCCTGGCTGCAGAAACAGACGACCCTAGTGAACATTGTTCACATTTTTATTTTGGACACTAGCTCTAAGATAACATCTTGTTACACGTTCAACCTTCTTCTTTAAGAATACATATTATAACTAGGACACCACCAACAACTATTAATTTTTACAGGATTTCTCAAACTAATTCTTAGAGTACTTTGGCAAAATCATCTGAGAAACACAAGAAAACACTGTAGACCATGCTGGAACCTGCACTGTCTCATGGCAGCAAACCACTTCCTCTTCACTAAGCATATACGTGTAAATGCAGACATACAGCTCTGGGCCTAGAGACTGGACAGGGAGAACAGAATGTGGTGCACTTCCCACCAGAAGGGATCCTGTGTCCCAGGTGTCCCCCTGGGCTCTGCAGAGCTGTGTGCTGAGAGCAGGGCAGGCGAAGGATCCCACTGACTCCATTCCCAGCAGAGGGCTGGTCAGTCAGCTTCAGCGGGAAACCCTGTGAGAGCTACCTGAGACTTCAATCAGAATCGAGAAGAGCCAGAGAAGGACAGCAGTGACAAGGGCCCCCCGTCTGAGGCACAAGACACACTATTTCTCCGCGTGCAGGAGCAGACTCTGAAGGATGCACGATGGATAATCGTTAGTCAGGAAGGAAGTGAAGCTGCCTTGGCACTCGGCATCTTTGCATCTGGCTGAAGACAGAAGGCTTTGTTGCCGTTCCTTTTTCCTCCTTTCATTTGTCCTATCTTGTGACCGATGTCCCTACACCTCACATCCTGAAGTCTAACTGATGCTACTTTGTATGAGCAGATAGATAACACATCAGTGAAGCTGGAATGTGTGTATTTGGAAGATAAATGGTGAAGGCGTGCACATTTCTACTCCACTGACTCTGGGATCAGAGTCCAGTATTTATTATCCAGAGGGGCCTTTCTTTCTGTTCTTTTCTCTATCTGTATCTTTCACATAACTGTACTCTTAAAACTTTCACTGATAACTCCATCAAGTTCAAAGACAGCCACACATTCCAACCTTCTACAATCCACTTGATCCATGGAACAACACCAGGACCGAACTCAGCTAACCTGGAAGAGCCTGGGTCACACAGACCAATGGGCATCAGTTAGCGTGTGCCCCTGCTGGGTTAATGGGAGCACCCCATCCAATCTTGGAAACAAACCCAAGGTTGCAGGGCTCGGCATGCCATGACACACCCACCACACAGATGGCTTCCCTCCCTGGGTAAGCCCTCGTGGAAGGAAGTCAAGGAAGAAATATCTTGTTTTGTGTATTACATTAAGAGTTCTTGTCCATTAATTAAGAAAGACCTATTTTTCTTGAGACTGTGGAAGAAATCAGCCACATTGTCTTCATGCTTAACAAGCATGCCAAACCACCACCACCCTCTCCCTGGCAACGCCGTGCTACATCCATTCTCAAACCAGAGCTTTTCTAAATGAAAGGAGGGATGAGATCAGCTCGTATCAAATTCCCTCCAAAAGCAGAACTTCCAATATTTAGAAAATATTTTTATGACATTTTGCATTAGCATACATTTTGTATTTTAGGTCATCGGTTAGGAGTGCCTTTTCAGCATCCAATGAATACTCCTGCACACAAATACAGGAAATTCTTGTAAGACGGGGCTGAATTCTCTCTTTTCAAAGAGGGAAGGATGTTTAAGACAACTGAAATCATTGTCTTGAGGCACAAATGTCCAGGGCCTGCTTGCTAAGCCTTTAGCTTGGTCAAGACCTCAAAGGGTTATAACCACACATTACCAAGTCACCTCCCACTCCTCTGTGTCTGAGTGATGAATCTGTGCCCAGGAATCTAAGCATCTCCTAAACACTTCTTCCTAAATACAGAGGTCTTTTAAGAAAAATAAAAAAGGAGCCATGGAGGTCGCAGCCTGGTGGACGCGAGAGGTGCAGGCAGATTCCCAAGTTGGCCAGGTGCTCCTCACTGAAGGTCCCTGCAAAGCAGAGCACAGGGAGCCACCAAGCCACGTGCAATGTGCAGTATGGTGTTCCAATCATGGCACATGCACCCACGGATTCGTGAGTCTCACAAGGCCAGCACTGCCCCACTGAGGATGGGTGCCCAGCTCCCTAATCCCACTACCATCACCAGAAAGACAGAAGTGAAGTACTCAGTCTTGCAAACATCCGATCAAATAACCAACACAGCCAATCCATCTAGCACGTCACTCGATTCAAAATAAAGCCATCTTTCCAGGCTCCATCGTAAGTTAGAGTGAAAACATTCCCTCTGCACAGGCACGTTTCAAACCCAAGCACTCTCCGCAGTCAGTCCAGAACAGCAAGGCAAGCGTGCACACACACACCACTGCCGACACGCCAGGGCTCACAGCACACTTTAGGAAGTGTCGATAGCAACCTGCCTTCTGCTTTTACGGACCAAGGAAACCTGTGCTATAGCAGAACACACGGCGATGTTTGCAAGGAAATCTTGCCCATACCTCCCTCTTCACACATCGCCCACTGAGCTCACCACAGCGGCGCACGCTGTACTCACCAAACCGTGGCAGGTGGACAGGGCCACGGAGGAATTCCTGTGGGAGCGTAAGGAGCCTTGGTAGAAGCAGAAGTCCTCGGGTGAGAAGCTCTGCACTGACTTGGTGCCTCCCTTCCCGAACGTCTGCACGATAAATCCAGGAGCCACCAGGTTGCTGGACGCCCTCAAGTCCAAGTGGAGATCGTGCCCGAAGCCTTTCAGCCGAAGGTGCAGAGAGTCGCCACCTCCCTGAGCCACCGCCCTCCGCCGCCGCTGGCCGTGCGTGACCTCATGAGACACATAGTCTCCCGTGTGGTCCACCTCATAGGCAGACACCAGGTCATACTCTGGAATGAAGAGGAGAGGGTGGCTGAGCCATTTCAGGTTCTGACAACAGCCGGGACGTCTGATAGCATGAGCCTGTCTTACCGGATGGCATCGTCACCTGTGACGGTGCAGGAAAAGTCAACACCTGCAGTTCTCAAATGCGCACTCTGTGACACACAACATCTGAGGTCAAAGAGAAGCGCCTGGAAGTTGCCTTTAGCTAAGCCATGGCTGCTTCTGTAATGCGTCACTACCAACTCAGCAAATTCTGTGTCGGGAAACGCAGGGGGGAAGACAGACAAAATAAAACCAAAAACAGACTGGGGATTACAGTGCGCAACGTTACTGGAAGCGAAACTGCCACATGCAATTGTGCTTGTAGTTCCCAAACATGCCTGTAGTCACACTGGTTTCCACAAACATCTTCGCTGAATTGATAAGACAGCTGAGCTTTAAAATACGGTACATTTTCAGGAGACAGACAAAAAGAAAAATGCAGCGGGCATTCTTTGATGCCTGTTTAAATCGTGGAACTGCAAATACCACAGAAATGCTGACCGTGCTCTCAGTCCGGGCTTCCGAGACGTTAACTGAGGATGCCCCCCTCACAGCCACCCCTGCCCGCCCTCTGGGCCGGGCCCCCCTCTCCTCTTGGCCTCGGCTGCTGGGACAGGTTCAGGTTCACACTCCTCAGCCTTTCAAAGACGTGTGTTCTGTAATTTAAAGTCCGCTGGTCTAAAGTGTATTGACTTAACCCGTGTTTTAATTCTTGGCTTTATTTCTTTATACAAGAAAACCCCCGGGATCTACTGGACTTCACGAGACGCATTCAGGTCTATCAGGCTGTGACCATAGGCAGCCTGCAGCACTGCATCCGAGTCATGGATCTCTCTGCAGTGCGCCTTGGTGGCTTCCTCCACTTCCAGATAACTGTAATTGATTTTCATAGTTATAACCGACACTCACTCTCTCCTCACCATCATTAACAACGTCATCTCTGCTGTCCAGAGTTCCAATCGAGTTGTTCGTCAGTGTGCAGGGCAGACTTTGAACAGGAGGAGTGGCTTGCTACGTTGCCACTTTCTTAACCCAGAGTTATCTGTACGCTTGTTTTAATTTATATTTATTGATTTGAGAGACATAGAGAAAGAGAGACCCCATTTCCCATCCCCGGTTAACTCTGCAAATGCCCAAAACAGCTGGTACAACTTGATACTCATATACATTGTGTAATGATGAAATCAGCATAATCAGTATTTCTAGCTCCTTAATTATTTAAGTTTCTTTGTGTTGGGAAGGTTCAAACTCTCTCCCAGTGCTTTATAAAACAGATAAGCTGCTGTGAACTCCGTCCCCCCGCTGTGCCGGGGGACTTCAGAACTCCCTCCTCCCGTGTGTCACTGTCCTGCCCGTGAACTTCTCCGGGCGATGTCTGCAGACATTGTAGGTCTCACAAAAGGAAGAGGAGATTGGCGCTTCTGGAAGCCAGAGGGCGGAACCCACAGCTGCTGTAAACCTCCTGAAATGCACAGGAGGCCCCCAAACCAAAGTGCCAGGGCTGTCCAGGTGAGAAAATGCGCATTTAGCCCGGAAAGCAGTCCTGAGAATCAGAAAGGGACTTGCAGTTATGTGAAAATGGGTGTGAAAATAAGTCCTAACTAAAGAATTCAAAGAATGAGCAAAACACCCATAGCATCGCACCACACACCTAGCATTTGGAGAGAAGTCCAGGTAAAACTGCCACGAGCTGAAAACGTTAAGCTAACTTCAAGCTAATGTTCTAAGACTGGAATTCCCCATTCCGTTGTCTTATGTTTTTTTAAGTGTGGTTCTCCATCTTTGAGACATGTTTCAATAAGACCTTGGTCCTATATGGATTTTTTTTCAGGAGAAGAAACCCAGCTGACTGCTCAAGCCGTTACTCTGAGCTACTTGATCTCGGGGGTTTCACAAAGGCCGGGAAGAAGCCTAGTGTAGAAGTGGTTGCACGAAATGCAGACCCGGCTGTGCACGTGCTTCAGAGAGCTGGTTCTGCACATCGCTTCCCAGCTCTGCGCTCAGCCCCGTCACACTGAGAGCCCGATTTCATAGTCTGTGGTGTGAGTGTCCACACGGCAGACACTGTTTCTTCTGCACAGGTAACTGCGTAGGTGAAAGCACTCAAGTCTCCTACTAGAGAGGAAGGAGAAGCAGTTTCCTTCATGTCTGAAATGGAATTTATCTCCACTGAGGTATTGCCTCGGAGCGTACAAATTCTCTTTCCTATTGCTTCTGACACCCAGCAAAACGTGAGACCACATCTTGACTCATACGTTACTTTAAACAGGAAGTATGGTCAAAATAGTTACTTCCAAATCAACCTGTATCCTGGACACCTGAACATCCAACGTAAGCTGATCTCAGGGCCACACAAGTGGGCTGCAGTCCTATTGCAGACCCAAACAGGCCATTCTGCAGAGGACACGGGCTTTGTGGGGCTGGGAGGAAGGCTTCCCTTGGAGGCCACCTCTCTCCTTTCACCCTGTCGTGATGGAGAGCGGACACACCTGGCAGGTGGGGGAGGGAGGTGTGGCTAAGCTAGAACTTGAAGGCCCATGGGCCCCACCTGGCTGCCATGGACACGCTGCGCCTGGGATTCAGCAGCCTGCTCACAGGAGATTGAAGCCAGCCGTGGTCCAGGAGGGAAGCATTCTGAGGCAGCACACCACGGCGTTTCTTCTGACTGGTTCCCTGTACGTAATGTTTATCTCGAGTAAAACTTCCTAAATGTCACATACTCTGAGAATTTCCTAAGTCCCTCTGGAATTTTCCTGATTTCAAGGAAGCAGAATTTAAAAAAAGTTTAAAAATTGGAGACAATGAACTTCCACCATGAAGCACTGCACTGCAGGGTGCACTAGGGGAAACCCTGGCAGACAAGTTCAGCCCCAAGGCTTGGCTTTCTAAACAAGGGGAGAACAGGGCCCACGTCTGCTACCACTTGCACGTAGCGCCCTCTGGTGGTCTTCCGGCAGGTCCCGCAGCTGAGCGTGGATCCCTGCGCAGTGCTCCCTAAGGGACGCGGACCCGGGAGCAACACTAGCTCTGCGCTCTTTCATCAGCATGAAACTTCACTGAGGAATTTTAAGTTATTAACTCTTTCTAGATTTTTTGAACATGTGTTGAAACAATCAAACCTAGTGATTTCTCCAAAAGTTGACACTTAAAATTTGAGGTGGCAGTTTATTGCTGCAAATGACGCAAATGCTTGGCCACGGGATTGCGTCTGAGGACACGCAGTAGCCGAACTGCGCACCTGCTTGCGCGCCGACCTGAGCCGCTGCGACGCCGCCGGGTTTCCAGGCGCGCCGGGCCCGCAGGTCCCCCCACGCTGACACCACAACACCCGGGCAGCCATTCGGCAGGGCGGCTTTTCCGCTGTCTCCCAGTTCTCGAAGAGCTTTATCTTTGGTACTAAGATGACAGTCACGAAGGAGAAGCTCTATCCTTTGTCCCAGGCTGCGACGGCTAAGGGTGGACGGAGCAGGGGCAGGGGGCAGCATAGAAGGGGTCACAAGCTCCCTAGAGTGATTTGACCCCTCCCAGGCTCCTTCAAGTTGATACTAGTAACAATACATTCCATAGCTCTTTGCACAAGGTCAAGGTAGCGCCTGGGGAATCGCGCCCCGAGGTGCTGGCTTTAAGGCTGGGACCGCGCGGTCACACGGGTGACTTCCGCACAGCGCGCGGCTCCCGCACAGTGGCTGCAGAAGTCTACGGCCGCTGACCTGCAAGGATTAAAAGCCCCCTCCTCGCGGACTTACCGCCCTCTTCCGCCCAGCCCCAGGGCTCCGCGGGAGGAGGAGGGTGTGGGACCCTCGGGTTCCCAGGCGCTGCCGCTGCGGGTCCCAGGGCGCACGCAGGTGCCTGCTGAAAAACAGCGGCGACACTTCGGTGAGAATGCGAGGAGCCACGGGAAGGGACAGGGCGCGCGGGACTCACCTGCACACCCACCTGCGCCAGCAGCAGCACCCAGAGCGCAGCGCAGCCCGGGCTCCGCATGGCCAGGCTGCCCTGTGCGCCCCGCACCGGCTGCCCGCGTTGCGCCCCCGAACGGGGCAGGCAGAGTTTCATCCGGGGACGCTCAGATGGATCCAGGGGCCCGGGACGGTCCCCGGTCGGGCAGTGTGCGGGTGTGCGGGTGGGCGGGCGGCCCCGGACCCAGTTAGACTGGAGCGCAGGCGTCCCGTCCCGCAGTGGCTCCGCCGCCCGCGCCCGGCTTATTACTGCATCTCCGCGCCACGCGGGGGGCGGAGTGGCAGCTGCGGTGGGGGCGGCGACCCAGCACCCGCCCGAGCCCTGGGAGAGCAGCGCGGGGAGGGGGGAGTGCGCAGGAGGGGGAGAGAGGACGGAGAGGGCAGGAGAGTGGAGAGACGGACAGGAGGACCAGCAGGAGTCTGCGGCAGGGGCGGCGGTGCGGGGAGGAGGCGGGAGAAGGAGGGTGGGCGGGCAAGGGCTGGGGAGATGGCTGTCCTAGCTTCACGGCCACCCGGGGAGCCCGCGCTGCGCCAGTGACCCCGAGGGGGAGCGGAGCGCCTGACCCGCGACCTGCCCAGCTGCGGGACTCACTAGCTGCACACCGCACTAACCGTACCTGGAGGGCCCGGCCTGCGCAGCCGAGGCGCGGGACCCTGAGAAGGTGGTGCGCGGGGACTGCTGTCCAGGCGCGCTGCTTGCACCGCACGGCGCTGCGGTCTGCCCTCGCGCCCACCAGGGCCCTGCGGTGCACGGAGACCTGGCTGCGAAGGAACAGACGCAGTTGCTGGGCTTGCGCAGGCTGCAGGCCATGGCGGCCAGGCGAGCCCTGACTCTCCGCTCCCCGGGGCCAGGCCGCCCTCTGCTGACCTGGACGCCAGTGCTAGGGTCTGGCTGTTGGCTGGAAGCCAGGGGCCGAAGTGACAGTCCGGGCCTGTACCGCCACCTGTCCTGCTCGTGCTGTGAGTTAATCACTGCGTGCCTTTGCGTGTGAGGTCTGCATCCGTGCCCAGTGGTGTGTGCGGGAATGCACACGTGTGTGCTTCCTGTGTGAGTGCATCCATGGTGCCCTGCACAGCCTGCTGCTCTCCACAGCCAGGCCACTCGCTTCTGTGGCCTGGGGCTGCCTGGTCTCCTGCCTCTGTCTCTGTCCCTCATGCTCACTGCAGCCTGACCTGGCCTGTTTTGCCTGGCTCAGGCCGGCTACACCGCACACAAGGCACCAGGGATCTCTGGCCTCCTTTGGCCCAGCAGCCTTGAGCCTGTAGGTGGCCCCAGGAGCTCAGCCAGGCCTCCTGCCCTCATCACAGGGAAGTCTCAGGTCCTGGGCAGCACCAGCGGATTCTCTGTCCATAACACACATAGGCACACACACGTGTGCACACGCATGTCCATCTTTACAAAACGTCTACTTTGGGGGTGGCCTTAAAACACCCGTGATGCTGCCTCCCCTGTGGCTGGCAAGGCTCTGCCTCGGGCTGCACTCACCTGGGAGAGATGAGGCTGAGGCTGGGACTGGGCCAGGCCGGAGGCGTCAGCAGACTTCCTGTCCTCTGCCGGGCAGCACAGCCTGTGCCTGACTGCCTGTGCCCGTGTCCAGATACAGCCTGTGCCTGTGTCCAGATATAGCCTGTGACCATGTCCAGATACAGCCTGTGCCTGTGTCCAGATACAGCCTGTGCCTGACTGCCTGTAACCATGTCCAGGGCACAGACTGTGCCTGACTGCCTATGACCATGTCCAGATACAGCCTGTGCCTGTGTCCAGATACAGCCTGTGCCTGTGTCCAGGGTTCAGCCTGTGCCTGACTGCCTGTGACCATGTCCAGGGTTCAGCCTGTGCCTGACTGCCTGTGACCATGTCCAGGGTATAGACTGTGCCTGATTGCCTGTGCCCATGTCCAGATACAGCCTGTGCCTGTGTCCAGGGTTCAGCCTGTGCCTGAGTGCCTGTGCCCATGTCCAGGGTACAGCCTGCACCTGATGCCTGTGCCTGTGTCCAGGGTTCAGCCTGCACCTGATTGCCTGTGCCTGTGTCCAGGGCACTGCCTGTGCCCGTGTCCAGGGTACAGCCTGCACCTGATGCCTGTGCCTGTGTCCAGGGTTCAGCCTGCACCTGATTGCCTGTGCCTGTGTCCAGGGCACTGCCTGTGCCCGTGTCCAGGGTACAGCCTGCACCTGATGCCTGTGCCCGTGTCCAGGGTTCAGCCTGCACCTGATTGCCTATGCCTGTGTCCAGGGCACTGCCTGTGACTGTGTCCAGAGTACAGCCTGTTCCTGATCGCCTGTGCCTGATTGCCTGTGCCCGTGTCCAGGGTACAGCCTGTGCCTGATTGCCTGTGACTGTGTCCAGGGTACCAGCCTGCACCTGATTGCCTGTGCCTGTGTCCAGGGTGCCATGAGGAGGAATCAGATTTCCCAAGTCTCACCATCACACAGAGAGATGCAGAGGATGCTCAGATTGTTTTGGGTTCAGACAGATGGGATGAAAGAATGGCTGATGTAAAAGAATTCACTCTTAGGATTTTGTTTACAGTGTGCAGTGCCTGGTGATTCCTGCTGCACTAACTAAGCAAAGAGACCATATCCCTTACAACGCTGAGCACTCTGTGGTCCCTTCAGGTTTGCAGGGACTTCGGGGCTCACCCTGAACACCCCCAGATACGGCAGAGCAAGGACAAACTCCAGCCTGTGGGGAGACCGAGCGTGAGGAAGGCCACAGGACACAGCCCCGTAGTTCACCTCTGCCGCCCTGTCTCAGCAGAGTTGCCACAGGGAGGAGAGGGGACTGGGGCAAACTGGGGCCGGCACTTGCTCAGGGGTGTTGATGCACAGTTAACAAGGCCTAGATCTGTCTAATTTTTAAAGAGCAGGTGGAAATCCAGATCTGTATGTGGGATTCTTCCCATTTGAAAATGGCAGGGTCGATGGTGTGATACAATGGGCTAAGCCGATGCCTGTGACGCCAGCACCCCATGGAGCAGCGCTGATTCAAGTCCCGGCTCCTCCACTTCCCATCCAGCTCCTGCTAATGCAGCTGGGGAAGCAGTGGGAGATGGCCCAGTGCCTGGGCCCCTGCACCCACGTGGGAGACCCAGATGAAGCTCCAGGCTCCTGGCTCCAGGCTGGCCCAGCCCTGGGTATTGTGGCCATTTAGGGAGTGAACCAGCAGATGGAAGATAGTCCTCCCTCCCTTTCTCCCTTGTCTCTCTCTCTCTCTCTTTCCTCTCCCTTTCAGGTAAATAAATATAAATCTTTCAAAAAGAAAAAGAAAATGTCCCACCAAAATAACTCTGAGGATAAATATTGCAAAATTCAAAACAAGCAGCCAGCCCCAAAGTCCATAAATTCGCAGGTTTTTGAGAAGTCATCACCGTAAACTTGGAGATAAAAGCACAGGAGGTAACTTTATCAAAATTGTTTACAGCTGGAATCAGAGACGACAGCCTGGGTCCCATCTGGGCTGCTGCCTACTTTTGTAAATAAAGTTTTATTGGAACACGGCCCTTTTATTTACACAGTCTCTGTGACAGCGATCACCATGGTGAGACTGAGCACTTGCTGGCCTGCAGAGCCCCCTCTAAGGAGAGGCGTGGCTGACCCTGAGCCAACACTTGTCTCTCTCCTGACAAGTTCCCATTACTCAGGAAGTCAGGCCGGGGCGGCGGGTCTGGCCTGCAGTGCCCGGGTGGGGTCCCAGCTGCCGGCCGACCCAGCCCCTGGGAGGCAGCAGTGATGGCTCCCGCAGCCACACAGGAGACCTAGGCTGGGCTCCCGGCGCCTGGCTCTGGTCACTGCAGACACCGGGGTCATGAGCCAGTGGCTGGGGCGTCTCTCTCTCTCTGTACGTCTGTCTCTAGAATAAAGTTAATTTTTGAAAACGGAAACCAAGTGCCTAGAGGAGGATCCTCAGCACATTACCTCGTGTGTTGGGGCTCCACGCCCACGGGCGGCAGAGAACCGGGCGTGTCCGCGGTCACTGCAGCTCCTCCCTGCCTCGCGGCCCAGTCCTGGGGCGCTGTGGGTGAACGCACATCAGGGGAAGAAGGGTGAGGGCCGCTCCTGCTCATTCCCGCACCCGAATCTCGACAGCACCAGCCAGCGGCCCAGGGAAACCCTGGCGTCCAGTGGCCTCGCCTTGTCCCTGCGGACAGTCCCCAGGCAGACGGGGCCGCACTCCCGGGGCGGAGCCGGACCGCGCCAGGCCTCCTCCCGCCCCCGCCCTGCACTGGCCGCAACCCAGACAGCACCCCCGCAAGGTGCACGTCGGAGGACACGAGGCGAGGACATCCGTGTCTACACCGTGGACTCGGCGGTCTGGGTGAAGAGCAAGAGCAGGCAGCGGGCGCGGGCTCGGGTGCGGGTGCGGGCGCGGGGCGGGTCCGCTGCAGGGCCGCCCTCCCTCAGCGCTGTCCTCGTCCACGCTCGGCACTGACCGCCCCGGGCAGCGGCCAGGGCCCGGTCACACGGCCTTGCACCCCGGGACGGCCCCCACTGCTCGTGGGCGCCCAGGGAACCGCAGCTCCGCACTCACCCAGGGTCACCGCCGCCACCCTCCCTCCGCGCAGCACCGCGGGGGGCTGGGACCCTCAGCCCCAAAGCCCCGAGGGAGGCGCGCGAGGAGGGCGAGGAGGGCGGGAGCTGTGACTCCATCGTGGCGCTCGGGGGCGGTGCTCGGGTGCCTGGGGGCGTGTCCTCGGGAGGTAGATCTGGCTAGAAGAGCCGGCTGCTCATAAAGCGGCTTCCTGCACCGCTCCTGCTCCGCGGCTGGCCTGGCGTCGGGGTCACGTGTTCACCTGCGCGCTGCTGCCGCCGTATTGCACGTGCTCGCCATGGCCTACCCTGCCCTCGAGGCCTCGAAGATACAAGCCCAGGCAAACCGCTTTTCTTCCCATGAGTAACCTCCGCGCCTTCCAGCGGGCGCCGTGGCTTCCGGCCTGTGGGCCCACCTGCCGGCCGGCTCCCCGGGGGTTGTGCAGCCCACAGGTGGCTAGGGGCCAGGTTCTCAGGTTCCTGGCCCAAGGGGGCTGCCCCGGCTGTTTGCTGTGGCCGCTCGTCCTCCTGCCGGCCAGCTGTGGTCCCCCTGCACAGGGGAACAGTGCGCAGAGCCTTGTGGCGCAGGCCTGGAACAGTGGCCGGCGCTGCCCCCACCAGTCTGCTGGCCGAGCAGGTCCGCGGGCAGCCCGGACGCAGGGCTCCGCAGGAGGAGCGGCCAAGGTGGAGAAACAGGCTCGTGTGTGCCTTCAGTCTCGGTTTCACACCTCACGTCGTGCACGCTTTTATTTGGGGAACGTGGTGGTGCTGCTCACGTTACCCAGGCCCAAGACTCGGGGCCTGAGCTGGAGCCAGGGCCGGCACTTTCTGCTCGTCCAGTCCGCTCTGCACCGAGAGCAGGGCCGGGCTGAGCACTGAGGCAC